ATCCACAGATGTCAGAACTGAGCTCACACATTAGAAACTACTCTCATTATGGATTAAACCCTGCTTACCATTCACACCTACCCAGTCCCACTGCAGTTTGTAAGTCTCTGCATAAAGCAGGAAAGACGTGCTTGCATGCACACTATCTCCCAGGCCTTCTATCACAATTACAAATACTCTCTTTTATTTTTTTAACCCAAATGATTTGCTAACAAGCTAATAAGAAACTGATTAAAACACGTGGCAAGATTAAATAACGTTGGCAAAGAATATTAAAAGTTGCAAAGAATAAACTTCCGTGTTGAAAGCATGGCACCTCCTCTCAAGAAATGCCAGAAAGGGGCAGTGTGCAAGTATCTGATTTCAGAGCCGGGCACAGAGAAATCCCACACCGAAGACTGTAAAGACTTGAGTAGACAAGTGTAATGTTAAAGGCCTAACCTGAAGCCCTAAAGCTGTAACTCTGTTTGATGAGATCCTTAGGCAGGCACCATTTCACGTGAACAAAGGAAAACTTAATGCTTTAGATCAGATCGAGAGTAGGATATGGTTTTTGCATTATATTTAACCTAATTGCAGCAGGTATTTCAGTAACTCTGAAAGAGTCTACAGAATGAGTCTGTTCTTCATTACACAACAGAAAGGAACATCTTTTTTTCCTGTACAGAACTGATTCTAGTCCTTCAGGCAACTGGATTTTCTTCTGTCCTACTCAAAAATTGTAGGACAGACAATCATACAGTTTTTAATCTTCCTGCACATCTTGGAAACAATTTTTAAATTATTTTCTGCCAATCCTCTTCTACTGAGAACTTTCACATGGTGCATAGCTAATATAATCTTACACTTTAAAGAGAATGGATTACAGAGAATTATCCTCCTGGTCGTATTACAGTGGTGAAAGGAATCTTTTTATTTTCTCAGATATAGTTTTATTTCAGAGCAGTGGCCTGGAAACAACTGTTCCCTTATGGTCAGATTGTGCCTTTGGTCATACCACCACTTGAGTAACTAAGAGGAAGAGACACCTTTAAGGCATAATTTTCCCTGTTTCCCTTCACTTCAGAAGCAGTGAATTTTTTTTTTTTTTTTTTTTTGTTATAAAACAGCATTGATGCCATCATATAGTTCACTTTCTCCTACTGTCTTTCCTGTCATTTTTGACTGTAAATTGATTCGGCCTGGCACTATAGTATGCTGTGTTTATACAGAGATCGGGTACAGTGGGACTCCATTTTTAGCTGTCCCTATTTTAACTTTGTTAATAACAAAAATAAATAGCAGTAATTTGCTGTTCCTCCCACTCTATCTCCTTCTTATACATCAAAGGTAAGGGAGAGAGTCAGAGCTTCACTAGTTCTTCATTTGTTCTTCCTCCTTCTCCAATCTGTACTCTGGCGTGAATGAGAGAGGAATAAAGATGTCAAATAGTTTCTCTCTTTCTTACACCTAAATCAGGTTCAGGTAACTCATATGTGGGTATAAGTGTGGATTTTACTGCTCTGTGGAAATGTGTACCGTAAAGCACAATCTAATCTTTGGTTCCTTGTTCTATTTGCTGGCAAGCAACAGTCTCTCAATGTGAAGACCATTACTAAATATTTAGCACAAGCGGTGGCCAAAGTAACTTTGGCCAAAAGGCAAAGCAACACTGTTTATGTGCAGTAGAAGTACTTGGTGATAAAGATTTCTGGCGAAAGTTGCGCAAATGTCTCCTTCCAATTTCTGGCCAAAAGGCAAGAACAGCCTTCATGCTCTTGTTTTCATGGAACAGAGAGAGGAGTATTGTACCAACACGTACAGCCCCCTGCTTTTCTTTTGTTTAAAAAGATGTGTTACAGTATTTACCTTTGACAACTATTTATTGTTTTGTCCTGCTTTCCTGACTGATTGCAAACACATGTGTTTTAGTGAAAATGATAACACTGATATATTACTGTCAACATTCTGGTTTCTTCAGTCAAGGAAGGTAGAAAACACATCTTTGCTGACCTTCATATAATAATAAAAATAACAATGAACTCAGCCTCCAAGCCACAGGAACAACATTTTTCGAGTGTGAATTACTTCAAGAAGCTGGTTCCAGGGGTTCCATAAGCTCAGTAGTCTAACCCATTTCACCATGAACATGTATCTCCTAACCACGTGCAAAGACCCCAGCTGCCTAGTAAGAAATAATAGATTTTTGCACTAAGAGACACAGGATATTACCCAACTAATACAGGATATTGCCTAATTTCTATAAAAGCAGTTATGGTATCAAAAGTGGAGACTAAGGAAGTAACTGAAGAATGCTCTTCCAAACTTTGAAAAATAACACTCCTTTTTAAAGTCATCCTTTTCAAAGATCATCGCACAGATAATCTGAGGCTGCTCCACAACTATTTGGTCCAACGTAATAAAATAAAGCCTTACAGTCTTCAGTCCCAAAAAAACAGACTGCTGCTCCAGTCAATAAATAGTCTTAGATAGTCATCTCAGATAGATCTCTTCAAACTCAAAGTTGGTCTCTGCAGAACTGCTCAGGTTTTATAACAGTGTAATGGAGTATATAATCTGGGCCTAGTTTGTTGTGTTGTTAATGTACCCACTTAAAGCAACATTTTCATACTACTGCTTATCCCCTTGACTTGTCTTCCTCCCACAAAGAGAGGAGAATTTAAAATCATTATCATTTGCTTTGTAAATCATTTCTAGTTTCTTAGGAAAACATCCTACTAGATTTGCTCCTCTGGCAGAAGATCCAAACTTATGCACTTGTGCTCAACATATTTCTAGACATGCATTTGTGCACAAACAACTGCCAGCTTGTTTTGTATTTAGTACAGGACGAAAGCATAAACTAAACCAGACTGCTTGTATATAGCCAAAATAGGCACCCATCGCTGTTTGTGTTCAGTTACTAACAAACCCAGTGAAAATCAAGCCCAATATGCATTCAGAATATAGGTATTTCCAATAACTGTATAAACCAATGCTAATGTTAAAAGTTAAGAAATAAGATTTCCTGGTCCTTGATCAAAATGATTGTTCTCCACAAAAAAAATTAAATGGGGCAATCCCTAGAATGGAAACAGAAAATCTTCCATTCTGAAGTCTCAGGTGTACTACTTCATAAACATTTATAGTGGTCACAAGCACCTGTTTTATTATTGCTCAAGTATAATATTTGATTTGGACAATTTGAGATGGATTTAATACAGCAGCTCTTTGTGCATATAGCAGAAGGAAATGCAGATCTTCTGTCAAACAAACTGCCCTGTGCTTTCTTGCAACATGGGGCAGAAGATGATGAACTGGCTCAGCCAATACACCTGTGTGCAACTGACTTTGGATACGACAAGCTATGCTGCATTTTCTGCCAGAATTAATCTGCATAAGGATCTGTTTGCAAAATTAAACATTCACACTGTATTTAAAGTGTATTATGAGTTAATTTTTTTCTGTTACAGAATTTTTGCATCAGTAATTATTTGTCGAAGATCAGAGTCTAGCTGAAAGCTGCTTAGATGCAAGAGACAGGATAACACCGTCTCACTCACCTCCAGGTGATGTTCTTCAATTGCGCCAGAATTCTGTTTGTGCAGCTGCCATGCTGCTTTTAAAGTTGCTGCTTCACTAAGAATGAAATCCCTTCATGACTGATTAAGGTTGCTGTTTTGCATCTCTTGGTCAGGTATATTTTTCTCTGGACTGATTTGGAGTAGAGAATTATGGGATTTCTGCAGATTATCAATAGACAGTTCCCACATACCACCAAGACTGTTTGCGAAGTGATCCTTAATAAACAAGGAGACAGGAGACCCTGACAGATTCCCAAGTACAGTTCTCGACATAGTTCACGTCAATATTTCTTGTTCACCACGTGCTGGATCAGCCTTGAGGAAAAGCACTAAGCAAAGCTGTTTCATAATGAACAAGCTACTTCCTGCCTCACAGGAACACTGCAGTATCCTGAAGGTCTTACTTCCCATATAAATCATGTTGTATATGTTATGCCAGGTAACCAGGATGCAGAGGTGATTCCTCTGCTTTCTCTTTGGTTGATGAGTCTTCCCCATTCAAGTAATTCTCCTGCATTGCCAAGATCTGCCTGAAATCAACCTGCGAAGAGGATCTACGTGTAGATGTGGCACTTAGGGACATGGTTTAGTGGTGGACTTGGCAGTGGTAGGTTTATGGTTGGACTCGATGAGCTTAAAGATCTTTTCCAACCTAAATGATTCTATGATTCTATGATCTGCCTCAACTCAACCTGCAAAGCCCCTGTGAGTGACTTTATATATAGGGTTCTTTAATGGAACAGTGCAAAATAGCAGAGACCAAAATCTGACCCACAACTCTTAAAGAAAGTACCTGAGCATCCCTAAGAATTAGATTGATGGTGTGAGTCCACAAGCTTTTTACAGTTAGCTCTGCAGCAGTTGCTCTAATATTTTTTATATCCTTTTCCATAAAGCGGTTCTATTCCAGTACGCTGGCACTCATAAATATAACGCTACAATAACAAATTTCCTAGCACTGGACAACACAGAGAAAAAGGAAACAGGGTTTCAGGCTCGTGAGGGATTATGATAGATAAATAAGGCAAAAATAACTCAAAGAACTCTGAAAAATAATGAAATAAAAGATGCAAAGCTGAAGTCACCAAACATCAGGGTTGGTATCTGTTAAAACGAGTCTTGCAGCCCAGGCTTTAAGGGATACTCCAAGCCACTCTTCAACAACTGTAAGCAATGGGACAGTGCGAAGTGAAGTAATATGATGAACGGCTGCTGGAGGGCAGGAGAAATAGGTCCCAGCATTTTCCGTTGCCTAGGAGCCCAAACTGACACCCCATGAACAGCTGAATTTTTTCAGACTGCATTATTCACTTCGCTTGTTTTGCAAATTTTAATTCATTGAGATATTACAGAACATACCCAAGAATATCACATAACCTTCAATTTTCAGGTATGTAAAGCTATTTCATGAACAAATTGCTCCACACTTACTCCAAATTTACCTAACTTGTTATTATTCACCATGGAAATATTTCCAGTGGCTACTTCTCCCCATCTATAGCTATTAGTCAAGGTGACATAGGAAGTGTTGAAACGGCAGATCTTGTTAGAACACTAATATTATTAAGACAGAAGTTAATAATTCTGCAAGTTAACTTTATGACCAATTAATCATACAATGTGATGAGTGCTGGAGGCATTCTATTCCAGATGCATATCCTAATTTACCTGTACTAAAGCACACCTCAGCAAGATAGCTTTGTAGTTGAAATATAAAGCAATAAAGCTGAGCTAAAAGAAACTCTCTTTTGAACTACCAGGAATTCAGGCTATGAAATAAAATCTTTTGCATTTAGCGGGTGTTATGCAATGCAGTGTCACTCTTACCTCCATGGGAAAGGCCTTAAAATTAACCGTGTGTTCAGAACCACGCTGGTTTTCTCTCCCCCAGTGAAATCGAACATCGTGTAGTTCAAACTCATGTCCTCGAGGTAATGGCCCCCCTAATAACACTGGGAAAGAAGACAAATGGTAAGGAACTTGGCTTTCGAAGCAGACAAGCCACTGAATGTATTCTCTAAATACAATGGGGAGATTGTTGCAAGCTTATTTATTATCAGCGGTACTAGAGAGGAGAAGAGTAAAGTTGACAGACTTGACATCTCTACTTTTGAAGTACCGTGCAGGTACAGAACACTAATTCAGGCAGTTACGAACAACAGTGAAATTGCTGTCATGCTCTTTGGTTTTTGAGGCAGAACAGCTGGTCATAACACAAAATAAAAACATTTTACCTTTATCAGTCAGAACAGTTAATATGTTTATTGCTCTTATCAAGACAGTAGCTGTGAGCTCTAAACAGATGGCAAGGGTTCTGAATTGAACTGGTAACTACCTCCAACTTGATGCTTAATCTCCATCATCTATATTTGCTATGAGTCACAGAAACTGATAGAAAACTTTTGATCGCCAATATTTTGCTAGGTAAAGGTGTTCAGTCATATACCACCTGTCAGGCTTCAGACATACAGAATGCCTCCATATCCAAATATAATCAAACCTACACACAGGAGCAACAACATACCTCATTTACTTAAAAACAGCTTCTAGGCAGTGATGACTTTTTTTTGCTTCAGGTTTTTAAACATCCGGAATTTCTTAAAAGCATCTGCCCACAATTGCAAAACACACCAAAAAAATGTATATAGTAGCTCAATACTTCTGCATTAATAGAGACTTCCACCATAAGTAGTAAAAGCAAGCAATTGTACCTTGTGAGGCCCAATCTACTTTGCAATTAATCAATGGAAACATTTTGCCCAGAGATTTCTGAATCTGCTTCAGATCAAATATTACTCCACAAGCTGTAGGTAACTTCCCACTGAAATCATTGAATATTGGCTTCTAGGCAGGGCTGGATTTTACTTAAGAGCATCCACAGTCTTCCCCAGAATCCATTAAATTCTAGCTTACATTTCATAGACTTTGAACGAATCTTTTACAATCTCTGATAATTGATAAGGATTATTTAATTGCATAACCTACAGCTTTAGGGAATTAAAGTTCCGTAATATAAAGTTATTTTGACACACAAACTAAACAGCCTTAGTTTGGAGCACAAGACTTAGTGTAACACTAAAACATAATTTAGCAATTATGCATTGCTAAATCATATTGCAACTGTACAAAAACAAAAGTACAGAACTATAAAAAACCTGAAAGAAAACTGATCAGTTATGGTTTTCATAAGCAATTACATTGAAGAAAAAAGTAAAATATTCCAATTAATCCTCCTTTAATAATTCTTCATAACTAACCAAACAACCATTAGGGTTTCTAAAATGAAATGTCCTAAATATAGTTATAGATTCAGATTTGCTTCTTAAACTTGCTTTATCTGTATTCTATCTATACCTATATCCTATATGGAAAATCTACAAATCTGGTGAACATTGAAGTATTTAGGGAAATCTGGACAAATAAAAAGAAACATGATACTCAATTAGTGCTATTTCTTAGGAAAATGGAGCACTTCCTCTGTTTTAAAATACTGCTCCTAGATAAAGTGTAACTAGAACAAATGTTCTCTATATGATGTAGTTCTGGATCTCCAGGAGCTTCAAAGAGTTTATTTCTGAAGCTTAAGTTAACATTGATCCCATGACAAAAGTATTCCAATGCACGAAGCACGTTTATCCTTCCTTTGCCTTTCATCAAATCTTGATCCTTGTCAATGCATGAAACATGTTTAACTTCGCTTTGCCTTTCAGCAATTTTTGATCCTCATTAGAAAATGATTGTGAAACCATCATCCACTGTGCAATCCACTGCGCAATCCACTGCTGGCTTAAAAGAAGTCTCTCTGTTAGTAGGATATCCTCTAAAGCATTTTTCAATATACAATTCCATTACACATTTGGTCATGCTTCTTCCACCTAATGCATAACACATGTACGATGATCAAAGTGGAAGCAGCCTGTGAAAATGTTTGCAATTAAATAATGAGAAGGATTTGGGAATTCCAGATGGACTGCGTGTCCTGAATTAAAGGATGAAATCAATCGCCAGTAATGACAAATTGATTTTTAATATGTATCTTAATCAGTTTACTTTTTTCCACAAAGAAGTTTTTCTTTGACTGTTAACATTACAGTAGATGAGGATCTCTTGCACATTAATTGGACAGAGTTTCAAAAGCATTTAGTGCTCAACAGTTCCCATTAAAATAATCTGGCTAAATGGATTTGTCATCAGAGATCCCCTGTGAGGAAAAGAAGCTGCAGGAGTTTCCGCAATCCCTGAAAATTGGCCAGAATACTAGGTCAAACAGCTTATTAACTCTTTTCTCCTCTTGGTAGGGATAACAAACGTTGTCTTCCCCCTCCCAAAAATGGAAAAATTATCCCCAGTTAACACATGGAGGATGGGAAATTAAGTAACATGAAATCTAAGGAAAAGCTGAAACTAAAAGATGATTTCCTAAATCGTAATTCCATATCGCAGTCATAAACTTTTATTCTATTTCACACTTTTTTCTATTTCAAGACTCATCAACCCGGCATCACACTGCATTCAAGTTTAAAAACAAGTCTGTCTTTCTCCTAAGTCTCCAATGGTTTTGCACATGCATTTAGGTGTGTTGGTCCCATCTCATTAGTTATTGCTACTAAGTTACGCTTGGGAAAGGTAGGGCTGAAGGAGTTGCATTTTGGCATGCAAGCGATGCCGTCGTTTATGGTCAGTCTCACTTCCTCCACAGGAGAATTCAAGAACCTTCCTGATCCTGCAGAGAGAACCTTACTCCTTGGGAAAAGAGCTCTGCTTCTGATGAAGGCAGTAAAACTGACTGGAATTACAAAATTTCTATTCTATTGCAAATCTGCAAAATTCTGTGGAAAAAATGTTCTGTGTTGCAATAATACATGGAACTCATCATGGAAAGGAAATTATAAAGGCAAGCATCATTATTAAAATAACAAACCCTTCCTTTTTAAAGAATTCAGTGTAAAACTGAACTGACTCCCTCACTCTCAGCACAGCTGTACCTCCCAGGACTACTGGGATCTCAGAAGGAAACAAAAGTTGGAATGTCTCATGGTTTGACAATGTTTGGCTGTTTAAATGCCCCCAAAAGGCTGTTACTAGCTAAGATTGGTTAAAATAACTTGGATGCTCTTCCAAATACATGGTAAGAACTATCACAGTGCTGGAAAGCACAATGGACTTTTTTTCTCCTTACTTTCTTGACAGTTGTCTCCTTCCTACAGAATAGTTTACCCAGATGAAAGCTCTGAATGAGATACTGCAATTTCACTTAAGTTGGAATTGTTTCTTTTATTATTTGCTTTTAATTTTTATTTGATGAATGACACCAAAAAACCCTTTAAGAAATGAGGACTGCTTTGCTACCTGCTCTTCATCAATATTGTAAGCATGTATGTAACTGGAGTATCTATCTTAAGCTGCCCAGTTCTGTAGTTAGTATTCAGAACCCACTCAAATTAATGGAAGAAGCTTTTTTAACTTACATGGTCTTCAGACCAAGGACAAATTTTGCCAGCTGTACAAAATAGTTTGGCATCACACTGCCTTAGCGATAGTCTGGACTGCTTCTGAATGCAAACAGCTGTTAATGCCAGTGAATTAGATGACACCACCACAAGAGGAAATTCTGGACATGCTGTGAAGCAATCTGACTGACCATCCAGTTTGGCGTTGAAACTTGCAGCTCCTATTGCCAAGCTTGCTCCTTTTCCTACCAAAGTCAACAGCAACACTCATACCGGCCGCGGTCCATGCCGAATGAGCACAACCGCTTGCTGCTGGGAGCAATTGCTGTTCCTACGCTCCAGGATACATGTCCAGCGAGTCTTAAGGCAACACAAGCTTCAGGGGGGAAAGCAAAGCCCGTGTTTCAGCATACCTGATTTTGACTTCAGGACAATCTGAATTGAGTGCCCGTCGTTGATCACTTCACAGTCACGACACACTACGTAGTTTGGCGACAAACGCACTTCCAGGAGCGAGGGGTCATATTTAGCTTCTCTCGAGTTCAAGTTAATAGGCGACTGGTACTCCCCGTTAGCATCAGGAAAAATCAGCCCCCACTCCACTCCTGAGGCACAAGGGAAAGCCGTTACGGGGAGACCCGGCACCCTGCGCTGCACGGCGGCTTCCCGGGGCAGCCGGACCCTCTCCGCCCTCACCGACCGCCTCGCTGCTGCCCACCGGCGCGGGAAGGGGGG